CAAAAAAGCGCCGACAAGGCTGAAGGTGGTGACAATGGTGAAGGCGACCAAAAAAGCGCCGACAAGGCTGAAGGTGGTGACAATGGTGAAGGCGATCAAAAAAGCGGCGATAACGATAAGGGAAACGAAAATGAAAGCAAGGCCGAAAATGAGGAGAACAAAAGCAGCAACCGCTGGGCGGACATGTGCGAGGACTACGACGCTCCCTTAGGTAAGCACAACTCGCATACAACGCAATTCGAGTAACAGGGAAATGACCCCCTCGCCCCTGTGCAGGCGTTCATATGTTGCACGCTTGTATATGTATACACGGCTTTGGCCGGGCCGTACCCATATTCGCACCAAGGCGGGGTGAAATTTCATAAAACCTTTACATAAAATATATGTTGAAGAGCCCATTTTATTCATATCACCGTTTTCATCCCCCTTTACAGTTGATACATATAATGACGACAACGATATGAAGCACAAAACGACGGATAGCAATTTTAACGACATGAATAGCAGCATTAAGCAAAATTATTTCATGTCAAACAAAAATGGTAATTTTGCATTATAACTGTGGATAATTGCGTGTGCATGTATTTTTTTGTTTTTTGTCACCTGACCTGTGCATATTTTTTTTTTTTTTTCCTGAATTGGCTACCTCACACAGCTACATTTCCCCCCCCTGTAGACATGAGCAACTTCTCGCCAAGCTACGAAGTGTACATCCGTAACTTGCACCTGGAGATAACGAAGGAAGAAGTGTACAACTTATTCGAGGGTTACCGCATCAGGAGGGTGAACATTTTAAATAAAAAGGGCAAAACAGCAGCGGCATATGTAGAGTTTGACAATGCGGAGGACATGAACAGGTCGCTGGAGTTAAATGGAAGGATGATTTATTCTGGAAATAACACATTCGAGCAGGGAGCAATATCGGTCATAATAAATAAGGACAAAATGAAAAATTTCAACAGCAATCAGAAGCAAAATAAGTTTAAAAAAGTTATCGGCAGGAGCAATAACAGCTTTGCGAGCTTGCGACAGGGAAATAACAATATGAGTAACTTGATGAGCAATTACAACTCAGGAGTGAATAGTGGCAATAACATGAACAGTAGTAACAATAGTCCCTTCGGAATGAGTAATAATATGTACTTCAATGACAGCAACAAAAATTTGAGGATGGAAATGAAGGGGAACGCGATGAATACCAGTAATAACATGGGTACAAGTTTTAATAATTACACACACATGAAGTTAAATTATATGAACAATAGTAACAACAATAGTGGAAGTGGCATGAATATGAACCAAGGAAGCAACAATAATGCCCACATGCTAAATGAAAAAATGAATAATAGTGCTGCGTTTGCCTTTAAAAGTATGAATTACCCCAACAGTAGCAACAACAATAGTGGGGGAAAAAATGTCAACATGAACAGTGAAGGCAATGCCAATACGTCAACCTTACCAGAACAGAGGAAAAAGCTAGTCCTGAAGAAACGCTCCGTGCCTCTAGATCAAAAGACGTATGTTATCAACCCAAGCATCTTTGGAGAGGCCAAACCGGTTGATACAAACCCGGACAAAATTTTAGGCGATAACGTTACCAAGGAGAAAGATTCAAATGCTGCTACGAATAACGCTGGTGAAGAGGGGGTTAAGAAGGCTGAAGGACAGGAAGATGATGACGCGCAGCAGAAGAAGTCCATCGGGATGAACAATGAAAATGTTGGGAACGGCGTGAACGACCCGAACAGTAGCAGCAGCGGAAATAAGTACGTGTTTAACTACAAAAAAAATATGAACGCAGGGAGAAATTTTAACCTAAATAGCAACGTCCAAAGCAGCAGCAATAACAACAACAATAGCAGCAGCAACAATAACAATAACAATAGCGGTAGCACCTCGGGGGGGAAGTTCTCCAGCGCCAAAAAGGTTTTCATGATGAATAAGAATAACCCCAGTAACAACCCCAGCAACAACCCCAGCAGTGGGATGAAGAAAAATTTGAACAGCTTTGATAATAACCAGAGTGGGAGCAAGAGCATAGGAAATAGCGGCCTGAGCAGCCCGCGCAGCCCCAATGCGAACAACCTCGGTTCGGACTCGGGCAACACCACAGGGAACATGAAAAGGTTGAACATGAGCAACAAGAATTACAAAAATGGAGAAATGAATAATAGTGTACACTCTAGCCCATTCAGCACCAATGTGAAGAACACCAACGCAGATGATACTAAGAAGGGTCTGAACCTAAGAGGAATGCACAGTCATCATAACGCATTCGGATCGTCAAACGCACATGAACATGGGACAGGAAATAATGCTTTTGGAGGAGGTAGCACGTCTAGGGATGACTCGAATGACATGTTTGCGAACATTCGAAGCGGGAACATAAAGACGGAGAACAAAAGCAACGACTCTCCCTTTTCCAGCGGAAAGCAAAAAGAACTAAACATCATCAAGAAAGACGACAAGGCGCATATTAAGAATATCATTATGAAGAATATGAAGCGAGAGGATGGAGGGAATGCAAACTACTTGGGGAACAACAACAGTTGCGATGGTAGCGGAGGTGCTGGCTACAAAAACAAAAGCGAAAACAGCCCCCTCTTTCGTAACAAAGATTCAGGAGGACTAAACTTTAGGACAAACAAAGCTGGTGGATCTACTGGTGCTTCTAAATTGAACTCGGACAATGATGGAGGCAAGGACGGCATGATGAATAATTATAAAAAGACTAATGATGGCAATGTTAAGAAAGGCGAAGAGCCATTTGAAAATATGAACCGAGGTCCCAACAGAAATATCAACAGGAATAACAGTTCCTATGGAAATGTCACTTCATCTCAAGGGGCGACCAGTGGGGAAGGTGCTAATAATAACAGCCGATCAGGAGCAGCAGCAGATAGCTACAATACGCAAGGGGGAGACAACTCCTACAGTTACAATATTGAAAATTTGTACGACAGTTCGCTAAAGTATGTGAAAAATGCCAATAACTCAAGTAAGGCAAAAAAGGTTACTGCTGTGAAGACGGTGAAGGTTATCGCGACGGAAAAGAAAAACGATGATGACAATGACTCAGACAAGTTGAGGGATAAAAATGGAAAAGACGACCCAAACAATGATGGAGCGGGGGATGATCAAAACGGAGGTAACCCTAGTGGCAACAATAACAGCAGCAGTAATGGTGGCCATGGAAAGGAAGATAAATATAATGACGATAAAAAAGTGGGGAATAATTATGACGACTCGGGCAGAAGCAATGATAATTACACCTACGAATCGGATAGCTCAGAGAATTGCAAAGACATCACCACTACCAATTTGAAGTCCACTCTTCTACACACTAAGACGAAAAAGAGAGTTAAGAAAAAACCTGTTGAGGAAGGAGAACAGAACAGCGGAAATAATAACCCTAATGATGAAAATGCACAAAATGGCCAAGCAGGAGGAAGTGGAAATAGCAAGGGACAGAAAATCGACATTTTGATGAAGCCCAATTTGAAAAAGGGGGAAAATATTTGGGAAGCCAGAACCCACCTTCTCGTGGAGCAGGAGAATAGTCTGAAGAATGACAAAGGGTCACACGACGGCTCCAGGAGGAGTCGCTCCCCCGCGAACAAGGTCAGTCGAGATAGCAGTCACCGCAGGGATGATAGCAAACGAAGGGTGAGTAGTAGTAGGAGGAGGAGGGACGACAGCAGGCGGGATAGATACGCACGCAGATATGAAAGGCGAGACGATCGCCGAGATGACCACCCAGATGACCGCCGAAAGGACGATCGAAAAGACAGCATCAGCAGTAGTGGAGAAAAAAGGGAAGATGATAAAAAGGAGGAAGATAAGGAGGAAGACTCCTATGACTACAGAAAGCAAAACCGAAGTTATGACAAATATAGTAGCCGAGGTGACCATTATGACAGGAAGAGAAATGGCAAATACGGCGCGCCTGATAGGAGCAGCTACAGGGACAGTTACGACAGGGGTAGTTACAAGGACGGTTACGATAGGGGTAGCTATAAGGACGGCTACGACAGGGGTAGCTATAAGGACGGCTACGACAGGGGTAGTTACAAAGACGGCTACGACAGGAGCAGTTACAAAGACGGCTACGATAGAAGCAGCTACCGAAATGCTCACGATCGCATTAGCTACAAAGATAATTATGACCGAAGCAGCAACTATGTGGAGTACGATAAAATGGACAACAAATATTATTCAAGCAACTACAACTCCATGAGACATAAAAATTACAAAAATCATCACAATGGCCATGGCAAAATGAATAATTATAATTACCAGAACAACTTCAAGTCAGGTCATTATTATAAATACCCATCTAAGGGAGGACCCAGCACCTACTACAGCAATAGTAAAAATGTTACCAAGCCTGGTGAAAAAGAGAAAACGGAAACCAAGGCAGATATACAGGCTATCCCCAAGAAAGCCATCGTCACCACTGTTAAGACGAACAACGTTTCCATTAAGAAGAACCGTTATGAGTGTTTAGATGATGGTGACGAGAGCGACAAGTGATGTGCCAGTGTATTAGAATCGAGCTATATGTGTGTTAAAATCCCGTTGTCTTATTTAGCACCGTGTGCGTTATATATAGAAGGCTTATTAACAAAGTTGTTTTCTAACCCCACGCCCCCCCTTTTTTCTTCAACCTGCATGAAGAAAACAAATAAGACCCCTTACATGTGTGATCGCATGTACGATCTTTTTTTTTTTTTTTTTTTTTTTTTTTAATGGCACAACTCACACGTGTGGTGTGCCGCATAATTCAAACTCATTTCGAAGGACAAGTAAAAGAGAGAGGAGAGATCCACGTATATTCGTCCACACAGCGCCGTATATATATCTACACGCAACCGAGGGGGGAGAATTATGTTACCCCCTCCCCTGCCCTTTTTTTAATATAACCTATTCATGTAAGAGTAGCTGTTCCACCGCCGAACAATTACTAATTTAATAACTTTCCATTATTGTATGCACTTTCATTTTTATTAATGCCAAATGACTGACCCATATAATAATACTAATTATAATAATAATTGCTTCTTCATTTCCATCAGCAAGAAAGCACTTATTGCGCTTTTTCTTTATTCTTTAATTAACCTGTTCACTGGTTAATCTTAAAGCACCTTTTTTTCCCGTGTCATCACTCCGTATGCGTACATTAGGGTTAATTTAATTGAGTTGAGAGGCAGGAGGAAACGCACGTGTACGACGTTGTATGCTTATGTGTGCATTAATGTACACACCTGTGCCCCATCGCGCTTTGCGTTATGTTTCCTCGTGGTACACACACCTGGTAGGAACGAATGTGTGGCAGCGCGTGTGTAGCCGTTGTGTTGTAGGAAGGAAAAAAAAAAAAAAAAAACGCTACACAGCGGAACGCTATACAAATACCAGTTTTAAAAAAAAGCACTAAACGTGCGACACAGTGTTAAGCTACTTTTGCATAAATGCCTGGGCTCTTTTCCAGGACCTTCCAATTCGCAGAATTGTAAAGGCAATTTCGTTTAAATGGCATTTGGCAAAAACACCACCTCGAACGATGACAACATACCGCGCGAGGCATGAATGCACAAGTGCAACTCAAAAGTACCTCCTCGTGAATGCAACCCCTGCCGAGATGAACCGCGGCCGTTCCCACGTGGCGATTTCCGTCCACCGGCTTAGCCTAGCCTCTACGCACAATCGTCATGTGAAAAAGCGATTCACAAGATTTGCGGGTATATACACACGGCGACGCAGATCAGATTGCTTTGATGCTCATATGGGGAATAGCCCGCGAGGTCACAGCGCAACGATTTGTATGCACATTAATGTGCCAATTCGTATGTCAGTTTTCAGCTTTTTTTTTTTCCCCCCTTTTTTTCATTCCCTTTAAGAACTCTTCACCTTGTGCTATTCGGCCCTTGTAAAACTCCCACCTTAGGAAGGCCCATCCGCACGCCTACTTAGCCAAACGTGCACATCACGCGCTTAAGCCCTGCGCGCGTAGCTATGCATAGCCCTGTTGCTATTTTGTTTGACCATCCTGGCGGATAGGAAGGGACAAATCTCCCACGGTATTCAAATGCTTGTGGTGCCCTTAGTCATATTCTGACTTCACTTTTTTCCGCCTTGTCGCACGTTTTTTCTCATGTGTGTGCTGACTAGCGTAGTGGCTTCCTCCCCATTCTGCTTTTATACGAGTGCTCCTTTTTTATGACCAGGTTTAGGTGCGATTTTCTTTTTGCCTACTCCTTGGGCGCATTTGCCTTCTGTTGATTGGAGTCCGCCCCGAAAGGGAATTTCTTGTTTGTTTTTTTTTTGCGTTTGTTTGTAACTGCGACATATGATATACAGTGCAGTTAGAGCTCCTTTTGCAGTGTGGTTGTCCATGCGACAGGCACGCCGTTGAGCAATTTCTTTCGTCAACACTACATTTGCCGTTCCATTCGCAAGGCAACGGGGCCTCGCGCCAAATTGTAACAAAAAAAAAAAATGTACTCCCCGCATGCGTACTTACAGCTTAACATGAAACAAGACTGAACGAAGGGGAAAAAGAACAGTATACATGTATGTACATACGGATGCGAAGGGCGCTCCCTGCAGGCACACACTCTTGCAAGCGCTGTTACAAATAAGCGTGCGCCTGTTGGTACCTTCCCCGCTCGTGTAAATGCCCCTCACACGTGTTCATACGTTCATTTGATGGGTCACTTCAGAAGGAGCATACAACTATACGAGCATCACCGTTCAGCTTCCGCACGGATGTAACGTTTTGCCACGTCAAAAGGCTGAGTGTTTTTTTTTCTCTTCCCCCCCCCTCTGCTCATCGCACACAGAACAGTCATCATGCAGAGCTACAGGGACCTAGCGAACACCACCGTGGATCAGAAGAAATTTTTGGACGAATGCATTTTCATCGTCAAGGAGCAGAGCTTTTACATGAAGCAGGCACTGGTAGGGTTGTGTAGGAAAAGGGAAAAAAGATACCCGCACATGCGGATGCATGGAAGTCTATCCGGATCGTCCTCGAATGATATCGCTTCATCTCTGCACACGCCGCTTCGCCACTTCACCGCTTAACCTCTTCACCGCTTCCCCACGCAGGAGAATGGATCCCTCCGGGACACGTTGAAGCACGCGTCGAACATGCTGTGCGAGCTGAGGACGTCGCAGCTGTCGCCCAAGTACTACTACGAGCTGTACATGCTCATATTCAACGAACTGCAACACCTCGATACATTTATAAGCGACAAAAAAAAACATAAAAAAAGGTTCATTGACATATACGAGAGTGTCCAGCACGCAGGAAATATTATTCCCAGGCTGTACCTACTAATTATTGTGGGCAGAAACTACATAAAGAACAAAGACATTAAGGCAAAGTACATCTTAAAAGATATGACGGAGCTGTGTAAAGGTATTCAGCACCCACTGAGAGGGTTATTTTTACGTTACTTTCTAATTCAAATGTGTAAGGACAGAATACCTGATACAGGAAGTGAGTATGAAGAAGCAGGTGGAGGGAATATAGATGATGCCTTTGAATTTCTTCTCTCGAACTTTTATGAAAGTATCAAATTGTGGAGCCGTATGAGTGATAAGGTAGCTATTAAATTGGCACCGGGACAAGACGAACAAGTTTTGCATAATAATAGAAATAAAGTCTTAAGAGAAAAAATGGATGTGAAAATGCTAGTGGGATCGAATCTGGTTCGCATGTCTCAATTGGAAGGAATGACTAAACAGTATTATATTGATAAATGCCTCCCCAAATTGTTACACAATCTCTCTACCATCAACGACTCACTCATTCAACAATACATTTTTGAATCCATCGTGCAAGTGTTTAGTGATGAATGCCATATATATACGCTGGACATTCTCCTAAATGCTATTTTAAAAATAAACAGCTCACTTGACTTTAAGAGCATCCTGATTACGTTACTGAAAAGGCTTAGGTCTTTTATCGAGTCGAATAATTATGAAGTGCCAAAAGAGGTCGACATTTTTTCTCTCTTTTATGAGCACCTAGTTTTGTATGTTAATCGCACGTTAGATTCGTATGACGGAGGGAAAGGCACGTATAGTTTGGCGGTCCAACAGGAGGGTCAGAGGTTTCCCATGGAGCACTACAAGGGGGGGGAGGAGGAGAAGAAGAGAGGCGTCCTGACGTTCGGCGCCACTACAGTGTCCACCAATGTGGTCACCACCAACAACGCGCCAATCACAGGCAGTCACCAGATCAACACGAACGACCTCCTTCCCAACTGCAAAATTGTCAAAAGTGCAGATGCGAAAAGTCACCCCGGAGAAGAGAAGCGAACGATGAAGGAAGGCGCTTATTATGGAGGAGCCACACACCAGGGAAGCAGCAACAAAGCCGCCAACTATGGAAGCCTGCCCAGGGGTGTTCACCGCCGTTATAGTAATGATGAGAAGAACCAGCGAAACGATCATGGTGGTGAAGACGGGGAAGACGACGAAGCTGTGGAGAACGTAGTTAAAATGCTTCAAGTTATTTATGAGTTCATTTTTTTGTGTATACGTATATACGACGACGTCACTACCATCACCAAACTGTTTGAGCTTCCATACACCATAGCATCGAATGTAAACCTCAACAATGATGTACTGTGTGAACAAATAATTAACATCATCGTGCTGCCCTTTAATTACCTAGGGTTGAGTGCGCTTAAGGGGAAAAATATGCATGGGCTCCTGGCCAGCATAACGGCCCAGAAGCATAAAAAGAAACTTAGCCTGGACATCATTGACGCGATTATTGAGTGCAAGAATAAGGCCATCGTTTACAAGGACGTGGAGGAAATACTCAATTATATTTCCCCCATTTTTAACGAAGATGTGAAGAGGAAAACGGACGCTGCAGATGAGCCACACCGAAAGGATTGTCACCAACGAGAGGTAAACGAGGCAGACTTTTTCAACCTAGACAACAGCACCATCACATACGCGGCTAAGAAAATGTGCAAATTTTTTCACATCATAACAAATACAAACGATATTGATGAACGGTACAATATCTGCATGTTGTTTTATAAGCACATAGAAAATGGACCCTACTTAGTGCACCTCCTGCCAACCATGGTATTCACCATGCTGAATTTAGTGACGACCATCACGAACCTTGTGCCTACCACGGCGAAGAAGAGCCAGTTACAGCGCGACGAGCCCTTTGAGAAGAAGGAAGACGCCGATGAAGATGTCCATGATGAGCATACGCATGATGATCATACACATGATGAACATAGCTATGATGACCTGGTCTTACTACGTAATAGCCGCGGTGATAGCACCACCCACATGGACCTCTTCCCAGGGGACCACGCAGAGGAAGACCCCTACTTGGAAAATAAACTAAAGCAATACAATTTGTACGTAAAGAATATTTTAAAGTTTATTCACACGAATTTGCTCTCAGTGAGTAGTGAAATTCCGATGCTAGCTCTTAAGCTTTTCCTGCACAGTGCCGTAGTGGTAAACAATTATGACCGCTTCATCCAAGCACATGACTTTTTGTCCTTTGAAAATTTAGAAGCCATTTGTTACGAATTCATAACACAGCCACTGATTATCTACGAGGAAGATATTAACATCTCCTCACAACAGTACAGCTGCATAATTTGGATCACAGGAATTTTGTGTTCTCATATTACTCTCCTACAAAATGAAAACTACGAAAATATTGCTCTCAAATTAACTCAGCATGCAAATAAGTTGCTGAAAAAAAAAGACCAATGCTTAGGCATCCTCGCCTGTTCTCATATTTATTGGGAAAATAAAAAGTACAGAAATAGCGCCAAGGTTTTGGACTGTCTTCAGAAGTGCATAAAAAATGCAGAAATTGCTGTGCAGTCAAATAACGATAATATTATTCTCTTTCTTTTTTTGTTGCAAAAGTATGTCTACTACTATGAGGCAGAAAATATTGAAGTCACCGAGGACAGCGTGCAATACCTGCTCCACATTTGCCAGGAGGAGTACTCCAGGGACAACTGCGATCCCAACTTTAAGCAGGAGTTCCTTCAGATCGTCAAGTACATACACGACAAGAAGCAGAGTTCCAACGCCTTCGCCAAAATTGGCCTAGACATCGCCGTGTAGCGGCGTGTACGTGCATGTAGCAGCGTGCGTGACATACTGCGATCACCCATACACACCCACCATGTGTGCATTTTTTCCTGTTTATTTTATGTATTTATTTTTTTTGTTTTGTTGCACGCCGAACGGCCCAGCTCTGTAAAGATGTATACATATAACACTATACTCTTCTTCACCTATGACTGTTTATCTGCACACCGCAACTTTAATCCCACCTTATTTGTGTAAAACGGGCTGTTCTCCTTGTTAAGAAGCTACAACCACACATGTGTGCAGGTAGTATGTAAACCTAGCAGGGGTACCGCCTACCCTCATCCTTGAATTATCCACCCACACATTTAGCAACCTCGTTAATAGCTTCTAACACAAAACTGTGTCCCCCTTCCTGGCCGAGTTGTCCACACAAAAATGATCATTTTTTGGACCTCTTCTGGTGCTTGTTCCGAGTCCTTATGTCCTTTTTTATACTATCCAGCTGGTTAACATCTACGAAGTATTTCTTGTTACCTTCGTCGTCCAGTTCTCTGCACACCTTTATGCCCATGCTATTACAAGTGCCTTGAAAATAATGCAAAAGTGGGGGAGAAAAAAAAAAAAAACAAACACAATGAAGCTTCCGTGCAATGCCTATCAATTCTTTTCTTGTTTAAATTGTGGCGACACCATTCGTACATAAGTCAAAATAAGCCCATTTCATGCAACGCGCATTGTGAATTTCCTCCTTTTTGTCTAGCCCTACCGATAATATACTTGCAAATACTTTTGAGGCTCAGATTTATCAATGGAGGGTCCATCCGCTTGCACTTGGCAATGTGGAAAACCTGTTTTCAATTAGATTGCAACGTAACATATAAAAAAAAGAAAAAAAAAAAAAGGGAGAGTCTCATTAAGCAACCATCCTTTACAACACATCCGAGGCGGAATAAACTTCAACAAAACGCAAATGAACAAAAACTCCCACCGCATAGGCGTTGCTTTTGGAAGATCGACTGAACGATGTATGGTCTGCTAAGCGGAACCTACTCCCGCTAACAAAGCACACAGGACACAGTGGCATACCTCTGCTAGTGTAATCGATCCGACAGTGTGATGCTTCGCCGTGGGACTGAACATGGGCACTCTTGCGCATCGTCGTATGAACCAGACAACCGTTGGGGTTCTCAGGTAAAATCTGTACGTCCTACGGGATGGACAAAATATGAATACGCGTGGATATATTTCGTCGAGGTGTGAACACACTGGACGGAGTAAGTCCGTGCAGGAGAAGCTTCTCTATATGTGCCTATCATGGTAGATATATCCAACCAGCACGCTCCAACATCACTACGTAAATTAACACCGGCCTTGCGGCAATAATCTTTGCCGGTAACTAGCCATTTTTTTTTCAAACCTGTCATTTAGTGGTTCCAGAGTTACCTGAATCGGAACATTCTTCGAAATGCTTTTTGTTCTCTCGTTAAACTCTTTAAAAAAAGTCATCATATTTATTCCTGAAATTTTTGTAAAATGGAAAATGTAACAGGTATGTTAAGGCGGGTACCTCTTTGGCGGCATGATGCCAGAGGGAGAGGACTCCCTTGTCTTCACTCTCACCCCCTCGCTTTATACACACGTGCACATACACACTGCACACGTTATACCTAGGGGACCCAACGTTTGTCCAATGCTTGCGCTGGGCTTCGCAGAGCCAGACAAAACCACTAAATTGAACCTCCCTATTCGTGACATCGTTTACAATCCAGTGGATGGTTCGGAAGACCGGCGTTCGAGTTGCCTGTGAAATGGCATATGCGTGAGTAAATGATGTGAAAAGGGGGAGTTGCCAGGAGGGCAAAAAAAAAAAAAAAAAAACCTGGGCACGCTCAATTAGAGGACCACACGAGTGCAAGCTTACACTATTGTGTACATGCGCTCTTATTCACTCGTGTGATGCGCCTCTTATGCAGACTGCGCAACTAGCACTTTGGTCATGCTTGTGCAGCCCCATCCCTGCATTAGGGACCCCACCTGTAGGCCACTTGGAAACAGTTCTATACTACATGGTCGGAGGGTTCATTCAAGCCTGAATTAGGGGTGCGGCGAAAGGGTCCTTCCGTGCTGCTGTTCACGCACATGCGTGGTTTCTCCTGTGACAGCACGAGTAAATGTGGCACTATGCCAAACGTAACAGGCAGCGAAGTACATAAAAAGTGCTTTTTTTTCTTTTTTATTTTTTCATTTCTCCCCTATTTTAAATGCATCCCCTTCATTGTGTTAATTGTATCACTCACCTTCCCGTGCACCACGCCTCTCTGCCTATCACGCATGTTTATGTGCGTAAATTGTTTCCCCTCCCGATTTCGACACGCGGAATAATCTCCTCGTTCCCTTCCCCTTTTTGAGGATACGGCATATTGGTCTAATTGTCAAACGCAACTTTAAAACAACCCTCCACATGACGCATGCGGTAGAGGTGATATTTTTAATTCTTCCTTCTTTGTCGTATATGGCAATTTATTTTTTTTTTTTTTCTTTTGACCGTGTGTGTGAACGTATGTTACAGTGGTAAAGATTTATTCATAATTAGTATTATTATTTTTCTATTTTTTTATTTTTTACCTGACTGTTCATATTAAAAAAAAAATTTTATTCCGCGCATGGAAGAGCAGTGCTTGCTTTATTTTCCACCCCCCCTTTGATCTTAAATGGACATATTCATATTGACCTTTAAGTTATATTTTCCCATTTTTATCTCACCTCTGGTGTACATGAAGTCATGAACAGTTAGTGCCACTTTTGTAACAGACAGGTGTGAACAGTACTGTGTTTTTTTTTTTTTTTTTTTTTTTTTTTTTTTTTTTTTTTTT